GCTCCTCTTCCTCCTGCTCCCTTCCTCCTGATCCTCTTCCTCCTGTTCCCTTCCTCCTGATCCTCTTCCTCCTGTTCCCTTCCTCCTGTTCCCATCCTCCTGCTCCTCTTCTTCCTTCTCTTCTTCCTTCTCTTCCTCCTTCCCTTCCTCCCGCTCCTCTTCCTCCCGCTCCTCTTCCTCCTGCTCCCTTCCTTCTGTTCCCTTCCTCCTGATCCTCTTCCTCCTGTTCCCTTCCTTCTGTTCCCTTCCTTCTGCTCCCCTTTCTTCTGCTCCTCTTCTTCCTGTTCCCTTCCTCCTGTTACCTTCGCCCCAATTACTCCTCTTCCTCCTGTTCCCTTCCTCCTGCTCCTCTTCCTCCTGCTCCTCTTCCTCCTTCTCTTCCTCCTCTTCCCTTCCTCCTTTCCCTTCCTCCTGCTCCTCTTCCTCCGTTTCCCCTTTCTTCTGCTCCTCTTCCTCCTGTTCCCTTCCTCCTGCTCCTCTTCTTCCTTCTCTTCTTCCTCCTGTTCCTTTCCTTCTTCTCCTCTTCCTCCTGTTCCCTTCCTCCTGTTCCCTTCCTCCTGTTCCCTTCCTCCTGCTCCTCTTCCTCCTCCTCCCTTCCTCCTTCTCCCCTTCCTCCTTCTCTTCCTCCTGCTCCTTTCCCTCCTGTTCCCTTCCTCCTCTTCCATTCCTCCTCCTCTTCCTCCTGCTCCTCTTCCTCGCAGCTCCCAGCCGGGGCTGCCGCCTGGAATTCGCTGTTGCAGGTAACGTTTCGTGAAGCTCGTGGCTTTTTGGTGGCTTTTGGTGGATTTTGGTGGCTTTTGGAGGCTTTTGGAGGCTTTTGGAGGCTTTTGGTGGCTTTTTGTTTTGGTGCCCTCGCCCTCCCGCGGCTGCCCGGCCGCTCCCGGCCCCGCTGGGGGATCGCGCCGGGAGCAGCGCAGCTGAGCCGCCGCTTCCCCCGGCTTTTTTTTCCTTGGGGAAGGAGAAATCGCCACAAACTTTTTTTTATTGTCTGCTTTTCCTGCCTCCCGGAGCTTTTTTTT